TCATAACTAAAGACACGCGCTTCCCAGACTGAATGAACTCCAGTTCATCACTTACTTATTGTAAATTAGATCTCCTCTGTTTCAGTTTCCTTTTCTGCAAAGTGAAGATAATAATAATACCTGCCCATAAAATTTATGGTGAGGATAAAATAAATTAATAACCAAAGCCCTTATGTCAGAGGCATTTGAACCAGAGCGACTCCATCTTGAATAGGAGCTGGGTAAAATAAGGCTAAGAACTACTGGGCTGCTGGCTTAGCGCAGTGGCTCACGCCTGTAATCCCAGCACTTTGGGAGGCCGAGGCGTATGGATTGCCTAAGGTCAGGAGTTCAAGACCAGCCTGGCTAACATGGTGAAACCCAGTCTCTTCTAAAAATACAAAAATTAGCCAGGTGTGATGGCACACACCTGTAGTCCCAGCTATTCTCGGGAAGCAGGAGAATCACTTGAACCTAGGAGGTAGAGGTTGCAGTGAGCTGAGCTCACCACACTGCACTCCAGCCGGGGCAAGAGTGCAAGACTTCATCTCAAAAAAAGAAAAAAAGAACTGCTGGACTACATTCTTAGTCACAGGATGAGATAGGAGGTCAGTGTAAGATACAGGTCACAAAGAACTTGCTAATAAAACAGGATGCAGTAGTGAAGCTGGCCAAAACCTGCCAAAACCAAGACAGACACTAAAGTGACCTCTGGTCATCCTCACTGCTCATTATACACCAATTATAAAGCATTAGCATGCTAAAAGACACTCACCAGCACCATGACAGTTTGTAAATGCCAGAGCAGCATCAGGAAGTTACCCTATTATAGTCTAAGAGAGAAGAAACCCTCAGTTCTGAGAATTGCCTACCCTTTTCCTGGAAAACTCATGAATAATCAATCCACCTTTTGTTTAGTGTAGAATCAAGAAATGACCATAAGTATAGTCAGCCAAGCAGCCCACACCGCCGCTCTGCCCATAGAATAACCATTCTTTCATTCCTTTACTTTCCCGATAAACTTGTTTTCACTCTATGAAGTCGCCCCAAATTCTTTCTTGCACGAGGCTAGAAGAGTTGGCTGCTCTTATGACCGGGCCCGCCAATAAACCTTACCTACTTAATTCCCACCATAAGATAAGTCAATTTCTTGTCTCCATTTACCAGTGAGAAAGCAGAAGCTTGGCAAGAAGATCAGATAGAGCTGGAACTGAAACCCAGTTCTCTCTGACCTTCTAGCCGGGGCTCCCTCCATCACCCCCATCCAGCAGAGCCTTCACAGAGGCACAGTTAGAACCACTTCTCTTCATTGGGTTGGGGTAGGGTGGGGAAAGTCTATTTTCATCACTGCAGCTCAGCCTTGGGCAAGAAAAAGGATCGTGTCCCCTGCTGGTGGCAAGACCTGAGGGAGCTGGTGAGAAGCATACATTGTGCAACAAGACCAGCTGTGTGGCAGATGTGTCCACAGCTAAACATGACAGGAGTTTCATTTCCAGAGTCGAGAAAGAAGACCTGTCCCAAAACATCCTCAGTGATCTTACCTGAGCGGATGGGGCAGGAGCAGCAGGAAGGCCTTGGCTTTCTGACGTACAACTTTGATTTCCGCTCTGCTCCCCTGCTTCAGTAACTGCTGAAATGCAAAGGCCGCCACATTCCCATGCACCATTGGCTCCGATCACAAGCGTGCCTGGTCCCCCTGGGCTTACTGAACATCTGACCATTGCCCTCAGAACAGCCACCTATGCACAAAAGAGAAAATGGTAAGAGAAAGGGAGGGCTAGTGACTGAGAACGTCAAGGCCACGAAGGGACCCCCGCATCTGAAGTTGCAAGGTAATTCATTGGACAGGCCTGGATTTCAACTGTTGGTCATAGCCATATGAGTTTGGGCAAGCCAACTGTCTGACTTCACTTTTCTCTTTTTCAAGATAAAAAAAACTATTCCTGCCCTACAGCCTAATTGTAAGGAAAGGCAAATGTATGTAAAATGCTGGAACCATTATGATGGAAATTGCAAGAACCACCGTTAGCCTAGAACAAGCAAAGACTAGGATGGGTGGAAATACTTTTTAAGAGACCAGGAAAGCAGAACACTTAAGTTTTTCTACATGTAAATAAACTGCAAAGGAAAAAGAAAAAAGGAACAAATATTCTTTAGTACCTGTCATAGGTCAGAGATCCAATTACGCTCTTCCTAGACTGAATCTCACTATATCCATGTGGTAGGTTTTATGACCCTCACTTTACAGATAATGAAAGTGATCATAAGGGAGGTTTTCCAAGGCCGCACAGCTAGACTGGCCTGGGGAGGCCAAGAACCAAGGGCTCTTTCTGATACACCACTCACTTTTGCCCTGAAAGTGAAAATGCTGGGAACTCCATGGAGAGCAATATGTGACATTTATAGAGTGGCACGAGGCAGCACTTCTCACAGCATCTTTGAGGAGGACAAGTTTTGTTTTGTTTTGCTTTCACGAAATAACCTAGCACAGACTGTGACATTTGTAAAACATAATGAATTATTAGAAATCTGAAAATCTAAAGGCCATGCAACATACACACAGACTCAGCTTTTTATATTAGATTTAACACACATAATATGACTGTCAAACAGTTACAACATCTCCCAAGCACTCGTTTGCTCTCCGTGTTTGTGTTTATCTCATTGTGGAATACGCTTTGAGAAACATTGCTTTGGATCCTGGAAAAAGACCTCAAAAAGTCATCTGGGTTTGCATCCTTTCTGCACACACAAAAGTATGTAAAATCCCAAGGCCAATGGGCTGTTTTGTTCTTCAGAGCCTCTCCCGGGCCTCACACCAGCTGTGTGGTTATACCATAGCCATCTCCCAGTAGCCGCTATCCAGCCTGGAACAGAACCTTCAATTTCAAGATTTGTTTGAAGGTTTCAAGCTCAGACTTCACCTCTTTTCCCCTCATTCCTGATTTCCTGTCGTTGCCTCCTCTCTAGACACCAGGCCATCGGCAAAGTCTGCTTGGGCCAAGCAGAGGCAGAAGGTACAGCTTCTTTGAGCATGTGGGAAAGGTAGGACAAGGGATAAGAAAACCCGCGGTCATCACCTATTGTGTGTTGTCAAGTGTTAGCCCCGAGCCGGTGTCAGCTTCACATACATTAGCTCACATCATCCTCACAGCCTCCCTATGAGGGAGGTTTTTTGATGTTGTTGTTCTTGTTTTGTTGTTTTGAGATGGTGTCTGGCTCTGTTGCCCAGGCTAGAGTGCAGTGGTGTGATCTTGGCTCACTGCAACCTCCACCTCCTGGATTCAAGCAATTCTCCCGCCTCAGCCTCCCTAGTAGCTGGGATTATAGACATACACTACCACACCTGGCTAATTTTTAGTAGAGATGGGGTTTCGCCATGTTGGTCAGGCTAGTCTTGAACTCCTGACCTCAGGTGATCCACCCACCTCAGCCTTTCAAAGTGCTGGGATTACAAGTGTGAGCCACCAAACCCAACCAATGCAGTATTATTGTCTCAATTTTATAGATACGGAGACTGAATATCACAGAAATGACAGAACAGGGACTGGAATTTAGATCTGTCTGAGAGTTCCCAACCTAAGCCCTTAACTCCTTACCTAATGCTTAGCTGGAGGAAGCTGAAAGGCCTAGAGGCACCTCCACAGCCAGCCTTGAGCACCATGACCTTGAGCAAACCCAGCTGGCAAGGTCCACAGTGCCTATTCCCACTCAGTGCCCAGATGCCAACAAATGTGTCAGTAGCACTTCTTCACTGCAGTCTCTATCATCTATCCTTCCCAGACCCCTGGGCTCTGCATTAGACAATGAAAGCAGAGGTCCAGGGCAATGGGTTCCAAAGCAGATATTTGCAAGTCTCTCACTTTGTGTGCGCAGCCCAGCTGTGTTCCTTCAGGGCTCACCCTGGTCTCTGAGACCTGCACAGACGCTGTCTCTGACCACTTTCCCTCTGGTGGGACAGGATACCCTCTACTGCAGTAGTGACAGCTACCCTTTGCTGTGAACCTGCTCTGGGTCACACTCTGTATCTTTTCTAATTTCACTTTTTTTTTTTTTTGGAGGGGGGGTGGCTGGAGCCTCGCTCTGTCACCCAGGCTGGAGTGCAGTGGCACGATCTTGGTTTACTGCAACCTCTGCCTCCCAGGTTCAGGTGATTCTCCTGCCTCAGCCTCCCTAGTAGCTGAGATTACAGGTGCCTGCCACCATGCCTGGCTAATTTTTGTATTTTTAGTAGAGATGGGGATCTCACCATGTTAACCAGGCTGGTCTCGAATTCCTGACCTCAGGTGATCCACCCACCTCGGCCTCCCAAAGCACTGGGATTACAGGCATGAGCCACTGCACCCGGCCTTCTCACTTCATTTTTATCATTGTCCTTTAAGGACAGTACCATTACTCATATTCTCCACAGGAGGTAACTGAGACCCAGAGAAGGTTAACCACTTAGTCAAACAACTAGTAAAGAACAGTGATGAAATTTAAACTGAAGCCTCTCCATCACCAGGTACTGCCTCCCATCAAGTCATAGGATTTGCAAAGCATTCAGCACATGGAAAGCACCAATAAATAAATGCTTGAGACTAACCAAAATCAGAAGTAGTCGGCAAAATTGGAAATGGGTTTAAAATCTTATGATACATCCACATAACAGAATACTACTCAACCATGCAAAATGATGTTGTTGAAGAAGGTACTACACAGAAAGATGTCCTTGATGTTGACTGAGCAAGGGAAGATACAAAAGAGTATTTATAGCATAGCCCTAGGTGAGTGTACTCAGCTCTCTGCATCTGTGGGCTCTGCTCTGCATCCATGGATTCAGCCAATCACAGATCAAAAATAATTTAAAATAGGCCAGGTGCAGTGGCTCATGCCTATAATCCCAGCACTTTGGGAGGCTGAGATGGGCAGATCACTTGAGTCTAGGAGTTCAAGACCAGCCTGGCCGACATGGCAAAACCCCCTCTACTAAAAATACAAAAATTACCTGGACTACCAGGCACAGTGGCTCATGCCTATAATCCTATCATTTTGGGAGGCCAAGGCTGGTGGATCACCTGAGGTCAGGACTTTGAGAACAGCCTGGCCAATGTGGTGAAACCCCATCTCTACTAACAATACAAAAATTAGCCGGGAGTGGTAGCACATGCTGTAATCCGAGCTACTCAGGAAGCAGAGATAGGAGAGTCACTTGAACCTGGGAGGTGGAGAGTGCAGTGAGCCAAGATCATGCCACTGCACTCCAGCCTGGGTGACAAAGTAAGACTTTGTCTCAAAAAAAAAAAAGTAAAATAAATGAATAAAAGGATGGTCTTGTCTGTACTGAACATATACAGACATTTTTTCTTGTCATTATTCCCTAAACAATATGGTAACAACTATTTACATTGTATTAGGTATTAAGAGTAATCTAAAGATAAGTTAAGGTATATGGGAGGATATGAGTAGGATATACGCAAATACTACACCGTTTTATTTATACAAGGGACTTGAATATCTGTGGATTTTAGTCCTAGAACCAGTGCCTCGTGGATTCAAAGAAACAACAGTGTATCTATTGTCTGACCCTACAGATAGATGTGTACACACACACACACACACACACACACACACACACACACACACGAAAAATACACTGCAATGTTGGCTGGGAATGGTGGCTCATGCTTGTAATCCCAGAACTTTGGGAGGCTGAGGTGGGCAGATCACTTGAGTCTAGGAGTGATAACCTGAGGTTATGAGTTTGAGACGAATCTGGCCAACGTGGAGAAACCCTGTCTCTACTAAAAATACAAAAATTAGCTGGGTGTCGTGGCACATGCCTGTAATCCCAACTACCCAGGAGGCTGAGGCAGGAGAATCACTTGAACCCAGGAGGCAGAGGTTGCGGTGAGCTGAGATCACACCATTGCATTCCAGAGAGGGTGTGTGAAAAGGGTAACAGATTGTTCTATTTGGCCTTTAAAAAAAAATATCTCGTAAGGGATTTCAGTGTATCTCAGTCTTTGGTGCCACCAATCTAGAACACTATTAATTCCAGAAGAGTCCAGTGATCAAAATGAGGAAAAAATTAGGGCTTCCAAAACCAGGAATTTTGAAGATCCTAACTACATTTGCTCAACGTCACTTATTGTTTTTTCTGTTGGATGCTTGGGAGCCTGTTTATTTATGGTGAATCCCTTTTCCTGATCAGCTGACCAAGTGGGGAAAAACAGAGAAATAGGCCACAAGACCTCTGTGTGCCTTCATTATCCTTGATGTCACTACTGTGAAAGGCTGAGGGGTCCAGACGTGCACGGTTGTCTCAGACCCCAAGCTGAAGTCAAAGAGGCATATTCACTGAGTGTAAGCGATGTTCCCGTGTCTGCATAGTTGACCTCAGCACTTTTCCAGCCTCCCGATCTTCCAGCAGGCTCTCAGTTACCAGCAGATGCAAACATGCGGAAGGTCTCTTGCTGACCTTCCTGAGCATTTTACAAGGTAATTGTGTTTTCAGAACCCCAGGTTGGCCATCAGGAAAACAGAACACTAAAAAGCACAGCAGCTGTCATCAGAAGCACCTGGGCTGACATTTCCACTCTCATGGACTAGGAGTCTTGCTCTGTCACCCAGGCTGGAGTGCAGTGGTGTGATCTCGGCTCACTGCCACCTCCGCCTCCCAGGTTCCAGCAATTCTCCTGCCTCAGCCTCCCTAGCAGCTGGGATTACAAGCGCCCATCATCACACCTGGCTAATTTTTTGTAGTTTTGGTAGAGATGGGGTTTCACCATGTTAGCCAGGTTGGTCTTGAACACATGACCTCATGATGCGCCCGCCTCCGCCTCCCAAAGTGCTGGGATTACAGGCCTGAGCCACTGTGCCTAGATGGCCTTATCCTCTTCTGAATTTCATGTCCTCCCTGTAATGTGGAACAACTCTGGGTTGTTGCAACTTCTAAGTGAGATAATCTGTGTAAGATGCTTTAGCTTCCTCTCTGCTACGGCCTGATATCAGTAGGTTTTCAATATGTGGCGTTACTATCCCATGAGCTGGTTTTCAGCCTGACTGCCTAAGGTAGAAAATGCTATTGGAATTCTTATTAACTGGCTTCTTGACAAGTGGGAGGTTATAGTCATAAGTGGAGATGCTGCAGCTTACCCCAGAGTTAAGAGACAACTCAAACTGGAGCCACTTGTGAGGTATATCTGCTTGTTAACAAAGCACAACATAGTTATTATAAAAAACTATCTGGCCGGGCGCAGCGGCTCATACCTGTAATCCCAGCACTTTGGGAGGCCGAGGCGGGTGGATCACGAGGTCAAGAGATCGAGACCATCCTGGTCAACATGGTGAAACCCCGTCTCTACTAAAAATACAAAAAAATTAGCTGGGCATGGTGGTGCGTGCCTGTAATCCCAGCTAC